TGTTCCGGTTTTGATTGCACCGACATCTCTTTTCTAAGTTTGGCCATCTCTTTATCCTTTCAATTTCAGTTCTTAAATTCATCAATCAATCCTTTCATTTATGTGATAGGCTTGCATTTAAAATGAACATTTACCATAAATTAAAGGTATCTTATATTATTAGATATATTATTATAAAACATGCTTTAGTTAAGGAGTTATTGATACTTCAAGTGTAAAATGATAACATAAAACCTTGATAAAATATGCACTTTTAAGTACTAATCAACCAGATTGATGGACTAGATTATACTGAAACATTCTCTTCATTTTCCAAACCAAGAACCATTCAGTTGATTATTTTTATAGCCCTTGTCCATTGCTGGTCTTTACAATAACTTAATGTTAAAAATGTATTTTTACATGGTTTAATCTCTGAAACGATTTACATGAAACAACCACTAGGAATGGCAGACCCTCATCTTCCACAATATGTTTGTAAGCTGCAATGTGCACTTTATAGACTTAAACAAACACCTCGTGCTTGGTTTGATTATTTCAGTGCCTTTCTTCTCCAATATGGTTTCCATTTCAGATTAACAGATCTATCGTTGTTTACTTTTCATTTTGATTATGGTTCTCTCATCCTTATATTTTATGTTGATGATATACTTCTTACAGGAATTGGTGATACACTTGTTGCAAACTTCATCACTCTTCTCAATTAGGAATTTGTCATGAAAGACTTAAGACCTGCTCATCACTTTCTTAGCATAGAAATTTCACAAACATAATATAGCCTTCACTTATCACAATCCCATTATACCCTTACAATTTTAGAACATGCTTATATGGTTTATTGTAAACCAATAAGTACACCACTTGAAGCAAAAACTACAGATTCATCAAATACACCTCTTATAGAAGATGTCAACTTCTTTCGAGGACTTGTTGGCTCTTTACAGTACCTCATATTAACTTAACCAGACCTCTCTTTTAGTGTTAACTATGTCTTTCAATTCATGCATGCTCTTACAACTACTCATTTAAAAATGGTTCGACGTATCTTATGATATGTCAAAGGAACCATTTATAATGGTCTACATTTTACTTTTACTACTAAGCTTTATTTATCTACTTTTAAAGACGATGATTGGGCTGGATATCTTACTACAAGACATTCGACTACTGGCTACAATGTTTTTCTTAGTTGTAATCTCATCTCCTAGTGTGCCAAGAAGCAACACACTATTTCACGCTCTAGCACTGAAATAGAATATCGCGTTATGGCCAACACTACCGTAGAACTTACATGGTTGACCTACATCCTTCATGATTTACACCTTCCACCGATATCTCAACCGGTGCTCTATTGTGACAATATTAATGCTCTCCACATGACGATCAATCCTGTCTTCCATGCATTTAGCAAGCATATTGAGTTTGATTATCATTTTGTACACGAACAAATGGCTCTTAGGAACCTTATTACGAATCACATTCCAGCCTCTAATCAGATTGCTGATCTATTTACTAAGCCAGTATCCAAAGCTGCCCTTTTTTTTCATAACAAACTTTGCCTCTAACCCTGACAATGTTTGAGGGAGGTTATTATCAATATACAACAGCAACATGTATTAGCAATAATACAGCAGCAACATCACAGGATCAACAACAGCATCACCAAAGCAGTAACAGCAGTTACATCACAAAAGTAACAGAATCACCGAAGCAGTAGTAGCAGTAGCATCATAGCATCTCCTGACCAAATCTTGATAAACTCCTGTCACGTTAACATCCAAGATTGTGGGAAAAATATTCCAACGACTATTACACTCTAGAATGGCAACTCATCATACATAGAAGCTACAACTACATGCAAATCAGAAATAAATCAGTCACCATAATCAAGAACATGCTTTAACGGTTACTACACTCTAGAATGACAACAAATCAAAGACAAATCAACCTCTATAATCAGGAAATCCTGTAACTATAGAAACAATTATAACTATAAAAACAAATACAACTATGAAAAGTTTATAGCTACTCTATTTCTTATTTATATATATTTACATCATGCACATATGATTGTAGAGTGCTTCTATCTTGTTTTATTATACTAATAAAAAGTAAAAAAGAATTAATTTCAGAGACCATCTCTGCTGCTTCTTCTCTTCCTTTACTGTATTTTTCTCTCAAGGTTATTTGAATTAATATTTTTTTAATGAAATGTTGAAAAAATGATAAATATCAATTAATATATGTTTTAATTTAAATAATAGTGCTCGGAGTTTGAAAAATTTCTAATAAAAAAACACAATTTATTCTACAAACTGAATAAAAATACACCCTGGGATAAAGAAAAATGTTTATATTATTAAATTTATTAATCTACAAGGTTGTGGATTCTTTAATGTCTCATTAATTATTCAAATAAGTATTTAAATTTTTTTATTTAATTCGATAAATCAATAGAGTGGGTGCGCATATAGGTTGCTAATTCCACACCTGACGTGACAACGCGTTCCTCCTGATACAACAATGCCACACCTTGGTAATTTTCCCCTATGAATGAAATGCTAGCACATTGTGATTCATTTATCAAGGAATTGGTACCTCAAGAAAACCATTTAAAAAAATCTGCCGTCTGGTTAGAGATTATTCTCTGGCAGGTACCAATCGGAGTCATGCAGCCTGTCATCACCAACGCATGGAGCTCATCTGTGCCCTTCAGGTGCCAATAGAGATGCTACTGCATGCCGGCATTGATAGCCTAAAAACCAGGCAGTCGTCCCCGGGGACAGGCATGGCAACCCCTAGCAGCAGCCTTGTTTCTATAATGAACATCTTATACACTACTGGTCAAATAAACTGAATCGCCATACTTTTGAGTGAAAATGATCGGAGCTCTCAAGTGATTTCATTAACTCACTGGGGCGGTTGTTTCTTTGCGATTCAAGCAGCCCTTGGCCAAGGGAACACACATGATTCAGATGAGATATTCTTTTGCTGATGCAATGAGATTTTCTGCTGTACAAGAGTTCCGTATTACTCATGAATAGTCGTTACAGAAATGCAGTCCCCACTTGTCGACGAAGAAGGGGTGCTAGGTTGGTAAATATTGCAGATCTCCCGAGCTACCCTTTTTTTTTTTTTTCTTGAAAAGCTTCAGATGGGGTCATTATCAATCTAGCAGAAAGTCTTCTAGGACCACTTTTGCCGTAGAATCGGCAGCTTGTAAACACTTGTGTAACGTATTTCTGCTTCTTGGCAACATGTGGTACAAAATGTCTGGCAATTTCTGCAAATTGGCAGGCCTCGCCTCGAGAAAGCTACCCTGAGTTTCTTCAAAAGCCCACAAAGGGACAGTCCGTGCGTGGGAAATTTTACAGCTTCATTCATCCTTGGATCCAAAACCATGCACACAATGGGTCACCCTGTCTAGCCAGTCTACCATAGTACCATCACCCCTAACCCCACCTATAGGTTTTTAGCATTAAAAAAAAAATCAATAATGGGGTCCACCCATTTCTGAGAAACGAGGACATCGTATCTGCACATATATTGCCATTTGTTTTCACTGTGTAAAAATGTTTTTTTAAAAAAAAACTTATATATTTTTAAATAAAAACTATTTTAAAAAATAATAATTATCGTAATACCAACGTGTTCTTCCAATGATTCTGTAATCTGTAACGTGTACAACTGCTCCTCTCTGTAATAAATAAATAAAAAAAAAACCAGCACCATGCAGTGCTTGATTTGCCAAAACATTAAACATGTAATCTTGCATGGAATTTTTTAACAAAGAGCTAAAGCAGGTTTAGTATTGTTTTACAATAGTGTTTTCAAAAGAACACAAACAAACATACAGAGGACATAACTGCAGTTATGTTTAAGGTAGTTTCCTTGCAATTGCCTTCCCCACTTCGTAAATCAGCAAGGAAATCAAGTGCCCATTTGAAGATTTGATCCAAAACTTGAAATCAAATAAAGGCTTATTGGGAATTGAAGATTCCTTGGTTTCAAACTTTCAACCATTTAAAGGCACATCCACCAGCACTATAACCACCTATATGTGTTTTCTAATCACAGCAGCGTATCATTACTGGTGTGACCAAATTGCCTTATATTCCATAAGAAAAAGGCATCCCTATTTGACTATCTCCATTTAGGATTTGGGAAATCATTCACTTTCTTGCTACCCACGCATGCTCTATTGCTACGATTCCATGGCTACCTCTCAACAAGATGGATTTTCTACTTTTCTGGCCACCGCCTTTGACAAGAACAAGAACACTACAGCTTTCAGATTTTGTTGTCTGTTCACGCCCGTGTTTTGAGAAATCAAAATCTTTTAATAATTCTTTTCAACCTCCATTTTAGCAGCCTGGAAGGGAAGGAAAATACAATCAAGACTTTCCTTATTGTCAAGTAGTGTTGAGACCAAATCTTCCCATTCAGACGGATGACGAGATAAAAAAGCAACACAGTAGAATCAAGTTTATTTCTCCATTTCCAGTCCCCTTTCTCAAAAGCACCTTACAAAGTTCTTACATAACTCCATTCACCTACCTCAGGATGCACAAATTTGAACAGAATATTACAATTTTGACGTGAAAAGTGGAACTTTATGAGATGACAAGATTCTTTCAATACATCTAAAGACTCCAAACGAGCTACCCTACCACCACCACCACCATCCATTCTAGCCAAAAAGTTAAGATAACAGGTCGGTGTTATGAACAATGTTTAAAGCCGAAGTTCGATGCACCGTCTCACATGGATACAAACAAGCCAAAATTCAACTGTGCAGAGACCAGTAGATGACAGAAATAGACAAAAAAATAAAGAGGGGAAAAGGGTCATGCTTATTCCACGTAGTTTTTAGAAGTTGCATCAGTACAAGTATAGACAAATAAGGGGAGGAAAATACAGTACTAGGGGAAAAAGAAAATCTAGTAAATTTCTGTACCAGAGAGACTGACCTAATTGCATGAAGCCTAAATCTACATCTTCTTCACTTCCCCTCTCAGAAGATCTGTTAGACATAGGACCTTGGTTTGTATTTTGTTGTGTAACTCATAACCCCCTGTTATGTTACAGACCATTAGCCTACACATGTTTCACAAACCTACTTTCTTTACAACTAAAAGAAGAGGTGATGGAAAAAGGAAATAACACCACCACCGGTAGAACTACTACTAATTCCTGCTACTTCTAAAGTTCTAAGCACAAGATCAATCATCAGTCTGCAGGAAATGTCCTGATGGAATGCTAATGTCTTCTAGGGATCCAATTTCTCCCATTCATAACGTCCAGGGAGCGGCTTGTCACTAACAGGGTCAAAGTTATACCTGCCAAAAATCAGCATTTCTATCAGCTAAGAGGATGTAAACCACGCAGCAGAAACATTACAAGATAGTCCAAAAATCCAAGCAATCATTCAAATGAGATAAGCTAATAGATGGGAGGCACATACTTCTCAGTAAATTGCCTTAGCTGCTCTTCTTCAGCTGGGCCAAAGAACTCATCCATTTCACGGGTTGTTGGGATACGTCTTTGCATTGAGTTCTGTAATCTCCGGCTACTTTCAGTTGGGCTAGCAGGCTTAGTAGTAGAACCAGGGGTTGTTGTGTCTTCTGTGCCTCTTGTTAAATTGCAAGGAGTGGATTCCCTGGTGCTCCTGTAACAAAGAAGATAAATATGGCATGGGCATAGCGAATAGGTAACCTAAGGGAAAATAACATATAGCATAATGAAATGAGGAGAAACAACTGTGCATGATGCTGTAAGTCGCGTGTCAAAAAGCTATCAGAACTGATAATAAATATAAAGCTTGTGCAAAAAACATTAAAAAGGAGACATGAATCCTGTCAGCATGGAAACAATTGAAAACTTAAGATTTTCCAAGCCATTAACACATTGCAGGTCACGTACATTCTGCAAAAGGTGCCAGGAACCTCCCAATCATAAAAATAACAGATCGCTTAAAACACTAGAAATATTCGAACCACCACATAAAGCAACAAACCATTTTTTACCATGATGTACCTCAAGCAACAAAAAACTAAGAAATAAACTTCAATTTTCGTTAGTTACAAGCACCAAAGAATCAAGGAAGGAGTAGAAACCACTTTAGATATCCCATCCTCATTACATGAAGCAAATAAGACAAACATTCTTCAGGCTTTGAATCAAATCAGAGTTTCTGTTAGAGCATCCAGTGTCCAAGCATACATAAAAACCAAGTCTTATAACAAGAAAAACACACACTAAACATATTTATGTTCAGAATAAAAACACCAAACAATAATAATATTGCTTAAAAAATGCAGAGGCATTTGTTGTTGGAAGAACCAATGGAACAACTTTGCTTCTTTTGATTACAATAATGCAATGGCATCCATGTCTGAGATCCCCACAAGAAGAGGACACAAGTTAAACTATTTTGTTTTGATACACATATAATAAGGGCCCGCATAGCAACAACCAAATTGAAGTAAAAGCAATCTAGCAAGAACTGTAAAGCATGTTCAGTGTAAAGTCCAGTAAAGAGATAGGCAAACAAAATCATGGAATTTTTAATCAAAGACCCGCAAAATGCAATGAAGTCATACGAATCCTGTTATCCATGAAGATGGTTAATAATTCATTAAAACCACGAAACAAAGTTAGGGCATTAATTACCCTATATGCAAATCACACTTCAGTGAAGAAAAAAAACTATACATGAAGGAAGATGTTTTACGCACTTGAAAGAGAATTAGAGAAATTGGTAGCGTGGTTTTAGTTTCATGGGTCTAGAGTACTAAGAGTCTTGAGATTAGATCCAACATCTTAAGTTTCTTCTCCACACTGCATTTTCTCAGAAACCAAACAGAAAGGGAAGCAAAATTCTTATAAAGAAAATCACTTTAAAATATAGAAGGTAAGGCTTAAGAAAAAGATTCCACCACAATTCGTTATTATTTTAATAAGGAAAGAGCTTCAACTATCTATATGTAAAGCAGAAAATCTCTTCTTTATGTCAAGCAATTATTGGGGATGGAATGAAATAAATTTTAATTCTCTTCTTTATTGCTACGAGTTTTGTTTTAACAGAAATGAAGCTTAAGTTACAGCTTAACCGCCCAAAAGGCTGCCATAATTCCTCTTTAAATGCAAATTATAGTCTTCTCAAGCCCCCAATATTACAACTAAAGCTTTAAACTAGACCAAATAGATGAAAGAAAACCATGGAAAAGTTCACACAGCCAGAGAAGAGGGAGAAAAAACCCAAATCAGGAACAAAGTTAAATTGAGGCTTTAACATGTCAAGATTCTTCTCTTTCACTCTCAGCAATTAAAAAAGCACAGGCATGGAAAAACTCATTCAAACCCCCAAGAAACACGCGACTTTTCTATTTTTCATCTCTTTCTCTCATTTTCCCAGCAATCAAACACTAATACACAAATTCCCCAACCCCAAACTAAACCCGATTTAAAAAAAAATTAAAAACCCACCTCGACTACCCCTCTTTCCTTCCATTTACTTGTCAACCAAACAAGAAAGCCCTAAAATTAAACACCAAAAAGAAAAAAGAAAAGCCCCGAATTTTTCCAAAAACAATTTTTTTAAGGGAAGAAAAGACAGACGCATACACTTCTTCAACGTCCCCCCATTTTCCCATTACTCAGAATTTCAACAAAAAAAAAAACATAGAAAAAAGAAAGCATTTCAAACTTCTCAAGAAATTAAAGAAGAGTAAGTAAACCCACCTATCTCTACTTTCAATGTCCAAAACATTATCTCCAAAAGAACCCAAGTCTTTACTATTGCTGTTATTATTCTCTTCAACCTCTTTACTCTCCCCCCCTTCTCTCTCTTGACTCGACCCGGAATCTTTATCCACCCGCGAACTCGGTTTCAAAATAGGGCTAGGGCTTTCCTGCTGCCCCAATTTGTCATTGTTCAGACCACCCAGTCTCTGTTGCTGCCTTCTCGGCGAGCCATGATGGAAAGATGGAACTGGAGGTGGTTTCTTCTCAAGACGGCGGCTGCGAAGCTGGAGGTAGCCGGCGGGAGACGAGGGGGGGGGAGGAGAGGCAGAGGAAGCATGCAATCTGAGGGCTTGTTGTTTCTTCAGAGCTAGGGTTTTGGCTCGGGTACGGACACCACAACTCAAGTCGACCACGGCTACATCATTTCTCGTTTTAGCCTTCCTCATATACTTGCCCATCTCTTGAAAACTATACCCGTCTCTCTCTCATGTAGGGAGATAGGAAGAGGGAGATGAAAAGGGAAAGCGGGTGGGATTAATTACTAGAGAAAGACAGAACGGGAGGGGGAGTATTTGTAATGGCTGTGGAGGGGGAGAAGGGAAAAGGTAGGGGTTAGGGTGTGGGTGTCAGTGTGGCGTATAGTCGCAGTCTATTTTATTAGTCTCCTGCTCTTTCTTCTCTTGATTGGGGTGGGCTGTAGTGGTGTCATGTCTCCTTTCAATTTCTCTTCTCATTTCCTGCTTGCTCCTTGATATTTTGAATTGCCGGTCAATTTTTTTAAAGTTTTGTGTGTGTATAATATTTTTTATTTATTTTATTTATTTTTAATATTAAAACAATCCAAAAACAGTAAAAAATATATATAATTTAAAAAAATCATAATTTTATAAAACACAATTTATGTCCTAAAACTAACCTTTCCAACTAATATTTTTTTAATGAATTGTTTATATGTATGATATTTATATTTATTTATTGTTTTTTTAATTATGAGTATTTAGACCTGTTTATATACATCTTGATTAATTTTCAAAAATTCTAAAATTAATAATTATGTAAATCTTCAATGATTCTGAGATTTATAATATTTGAACTGATAATCTCTAAAAAATTTATTTGTTATTTTACTTGTTAGGATAAAATGTTCATTATTTCAAATATATTGGTTTTTTCATGATGAAAAGTTGTTTTTGGATTTACACATCAAGAATGGTACGGAAAATTAAAGAAGGTAATGAGCCAAAGAAATAAGAAATTGATGGATAGGGTGAAGAAAATTAAGAAATTGAGAACAAGAAATTTTAATTTTGGTCCATTGAAAGTTTTTATAATAAGCCAACTATTAATACCAAAATCAAAGAATTTTATTTATTTTATCTCATTATAAATAGGTGTATAATTGAATTATTGGAACTCCTCGAGTATTTAAAACATTTTCATATTTATAATAAGCCAACTATTAATATCAAAATCAAAGAATTTTATCTATTTTATCTCACTGTAAATAGGTATATAACTTAACTATTGGAACTCCTTGAGTATTTAAAATATAATAAGCCAATTGTTGATACCAAAATTTTATCCATTTTATCTCACTATAAATAGGTGTATAACTGAATTATTAGGACTCCTTAAGTATTTAAAAAAAATTCAAAATATTCTCAAACAAATTTCACATGAAAAACTAATATCTTTCCCCAATTAAATTTCAAACATATTTTTCATATCTTATTTTTAAGTATGAGAAGTAAACTCCTACGTGATGATGCTCCAAATTGCAATATAATGGAGAATTTAAATATTTAAATATTTGGATAATAAATAATTATATATTCATATTAATCTTTTATTTTTTATAACACATAGTATAAAGGATTGATGACAAATATTTGGACCAGCAGAAATTCTTTGGTTATTAATTCAATGACTTTTTGTAAAGAGTTATAATAAATGAACAATAAATTATAAAAATAAAAATATTTTTTTAATTTATAAATGATAAAATGTTGGGAATATGTTACAAGAGACTAGAAATTGGAAACTATTTACCTTGATTGTTTACAGAGTATTTATATCTTTTATACTTTGAACTTTCTTCCTCTTATTCAAAGGGTTGCGAGTCTTTTTTTTTTTCATATCCAGGTAGAGAGGGAAACCATTATATCAATATTAATATTGATATAAGTGTTTCCTTACACAACATTAATATTGGTAGGAGTATCATGTGTTTACAGAAGACAATCTTATGTTATTATATACACAATATTAATATAGATGAGAACAACTCTTGTAATCAACATTAAAATTGATTGATGTATAAACAACTCTTAAATAATTTTTCACACAGTTAGGGTGTAGGGATATGATAATTCTAGATTCGCACCTTGGATGCTTAGATCCGAAGTAATCCTAAATCCAAAGATGTTCAAACCTAATATTTTGCTAGACCAATAAGCTGTTGGGTTTAATACATAGCCAAGTCCAATGAAATTGAATTTGATATCTTCTCATACTCTCATTTCACGTATTTTAATTTTTGTTACGTCTTTATATTGAATCTTTTTTCTTTTGATCTGTTTAGCTATAAGCCTTAAGAGTAAAGGGATTTTAGTATGGAAATGTATATGTTGGTAATATAGTAAATATACAGTAAATATATATGTTGATAAGAAATTAGAGGATTGTTTGTAAGAAAATAAGGAATTAATTAAATTTTATTTAAGCTTTTTTTTTTATTGAGGACATTTTATATAGATAAACTTTGTATTTATCAAATTTAATGAATCATAGTTCTTGTTTGATATTGTTATGCTTTTTAAAACCTAATTATTTTTACTTGTTTTCTTGCAAAACAAAGCAAACATTTTGTTAACCAGAAAGTGATTTTCTGGAAATCATTTTTCAAATTTTTCTATATTTGTTTACCATTAGAAAAATTGATTGACGGAGAACATTTTTCAATTAAAAAAAAATTTAGCTTGATGTTCAAGAAAGTGTTTCCTTGTGTTTTAGGCAAAAAACACTTTCTGAAAGTTGTGAAAAAAAATTAAAAATATCATATTATTTGCTGATTATCTCAAATTTGTTTCTCAAACTTTTGATTGATATATATTTTGTTTGAATCTTTTTTTTTTAATTTCATCCCTTAAAATTTGATTTTTTTATTTATTTTTATATTAACTTTAGTCCTCATTTTTATAATTGTTATTTACTTTTTTATTATTATTTTTTTATTTAAAATTTTTTATCTATCAAATTTGACCCTCATCTCTTGATTGTTACTTATTTTATTTGGAATAATTTATAAAATTATTATTATTATTATTATTTAAATTTCATCATCTTTTAATTTTTTTGGTTGGATTTGATCTCTATTATTTTAATTATTATTTATTTTATTTAAGATAATTTATTAAATTATATTTTTTTAATTTTATTTTTATTCAACTTTTTAATTTGTAAGATTTGTTCTTCGTTATTTTAATAAACTTAAAAAAATAAAATATTAATAAACTATTTTTCAGCTCATTTTTCATAGCATAACCAAATACTAGAAAGTATTTTTTAATTTATTTTTTATAACATTATCAAACATAAAAAAATAATTTACTTTTTAAAAAAATTATTTTTCAAAAAAAAATTATTTTCTAACAAATAAACAAGCCTTAAAAGGAAACTTTTTTATTTTTAAAACAAAACAAAATAATGTATGACCAACCAAAAAAAACTGCGTTTTTCTAATGCCTTCCAGTTTTTTCAATAATAATTATAGAAGTAAGTAAACAATAAAGGATATCTTTATTAAAAATTAATGCCACCTATTATTATTATTTAAGAGACAAATTATTATTCCATTCCAACAATTTCTAAATTATAATTAATCCACGAAAATGTGTTGTTTCCATATATTGATCATATCGCGAAACGAGTAAAAGTCGATATTTTTAGGGACTATGAAGGACGGCAGTCCTTGGATTCCCTTTTAGGTGGCAAAGGGCATTTTGATTTTCTTTTTATTGGTTTATTTATATATTTCTCGTCGTCAAAGATAGGACTTGAATAATCCCACCCTCCCTCACAAGAAGTGTAATCCACGCTCCTTCACCCGTTGCATGATCTCTTCCCATAAATAACATCAAAAAGCTGATGCTTTGGAATATAATTTGCTTTGTATAGGATTTCTGATGAGATTACGCAAGGTTTATCTATTTTTTTTTAATTAGGGTTTTTTTAATAAAAAATGGCACATGGGATTTTTTTTCATATTTCTATGTAAATTCAAACCCTAAATATTAATAACATTGAATAATATATTTAATTAACATTTTAAATGAGAAATATTCACATTGATGGTTTTAATTAGAGGTAAGTACAAAAATTGAAAAGCTAATGAAATTGAAAAAACTAAAAAAAATAACTAAAAAATTAAATAAAAAAAAATCAAGTCAAATAAAAAAAATCAAGTTAAATTAAAAAAATTGAGTCAAATTAATTTGAATTAATTTTTTAAATAATCAAATTGAACCAAATCTAGTTGATTTGAATCAATTTTGATTTTGAATATTCCTAGTTTGAATTTGTGCAATGATTTTGTTAATTTGTTTGGATTTATTTACAATTTTAAATGACAATAAAAATGCCGTTATTGTTGTTTTCGTGTATATATAACGAGAGATAGAGAATTGCTTGTTAGAAAGAATGTAGCAATAAAAAAAAAGGATAAACAATATTAGAATTACAATAAATATCTAACGGATACATATTACACTTCTTATATTCAAATTAGAGTAATTTGATTTTTTTTTTCATTTTGTCATGAAGCTTGTTTACTAAATATAAATATAATGATGGGTCATTTCTGAAATTAAATTAGAGTAATTCTACGATTAATTTTAATATATTTAAAAAAAAAACTATTTTTAAACACATTTTATACCACAATTCCAAATATTTACAAAACACCATCAATGGGAAAAAAAATTAAAAATTCAGTGCTTGCTGGGAATACTTAAAAGGAAAATTATTACAAATTGTTGAATATATTTACTTATTTTGTTGAGAAAATTAGCTTAATTATATGTTCACAGCTAAACAACTTATCAAATTACTTAATAACGATGCAATTAAAGATAATCATCAAGTACATGTCCTCATCTAACCACATACTTTATATATTTACTTTTTAAAACATGAAGGGATTAACAATGCTTTTTTTTTTTTATTTATTTAATTTGATTTTAAGTTTTTAAATTGATTAGAAAGGTTTCTAATAATTTTTTTTCTTCATATTTTAGATGAAAAACAAGTTGAAATCTAGATTTTTAAAGTCTAGAATCTCAATTTTCTGATCATCATTAAAGATATATATCTTTAGTACTCAAAAAAGATAATAAATGGATGACGAATTATCTATCTAAACAACCTTATCTATCTAATTAAAAACAAAAAAAATAAATAAACCAAGCACCTGGTTTTCCAAGGCCATGTGGATTTTATTTGTGCCATGTATCCATTTCTAGCACATGAATGCATGACCCTTTATTTTTTTTATTCCGTTGTTTTTTTTATATTTTTTAATTAAATTATTTTTAAATAAATTTATTTAAATGATGTTTAGATAAGTATCTAATTATATCATTTTTCT